CTTTGTATTGTTTCATTTTTTGGGCTGACAGCAATTCTCATTCCAAAATTGCAATCATTCTTGAAATTTTGCTATCATTTGCTATTTTCTTTGCGTTCATCGACGCTTAACAAGCTGCTTATTGTGAAGATTCGCTAAAAGATGCTCTCAATTTCTTCGGATTACTAAGTTCCAAGCTGCCATTATGTCTGTAATCATAACAGCAGTTTTCAAAGCGACTATTGGATGGCTTGTGGATAAATGCAGAGATGAGGCAGCAAAAAAGCTTAAAGATGGCGACATAACCGATCAACAGTTTCGCGGCATCATCATGCGAGAAATCGATGACTTGAGGTCCAAGCTGGATGGATTATCAAGGAAAGATTTGTTAGCCAGTATTAGCTTCTTTAGAGAAGGAGTCGAGTTGCTGTATGAAGTATTTGAAGATACAAGGTCGAGGAGTAAGTATGGCGCGGATGCAGCACAAGCGGCTTGTGCGGAGACTGTGTCGCTCACTGAAGGAATGAAACACTTGGAGCTTACTAAATCTGCTACAAGAAAGCTCGCCGATGCAAAGAAGAGATTCGAAAGTGCTCGTAAAAGAGCAACGGATGCCTTTTCTAATGAAGCGCTATCACCAAATGACCGCATCTTATCAATGCAGTACCGTGTGATGGCAACAGTATTAGAAAAAATAGACCATCCCGAGGATGTTTTAGCACCATGTAAAGTGTGTATTGAAGAGCTAAACAGTCTGCCGGTGGTTCAGCAAAGTCTTCGAGAACAGCTCAAGACAGGTTTCAGGGCAGTGAAGAGTTTATTTAACAAACAAGAACGACGCAAAGTTATTTCCGGGGTCTGTCTAGTCAATCGTGTCGCCTTCAATGTCATACGAACAGTACCCGTTAAAGAACTATTCCCAAAATGGCTCATGATTGATACGGGAGAGGAGAAAGTTGATCTGCTGCGAGATGCGAGAGTAAGAGAGATACTTTGTAAACAGGGTATGGAGAACTGTAGTGTACCATGGATACTTGATCATGATGGCGAAGAGGAGCACGGGTTAGAGGAGCTGAGTGATATCGCTACCAACTCAAGCAGGCAATATATTTTAGCATACTTTGACTTGACAATCAAGGTGTTTGACAACAGTGGCAAGTTTGTGCAAGGTTTCAGACTTCCTCCTCTTATTGATGACAGCGATAAAGAGCTATCGATTGAAAACAGGGTGTTTCGGCTAGCCACAGACATGAATGACAACATTTATGTCTTGGTCAGGGAAGAGAGTCGTATGGGCTCAGACTGGATTTTCAAGTTTAACAAAACCGTTGACCAGCATCACAAGTTTCGCGTCGAGAGAATTAGCTTCGACTTTGGGCGGTGTGAACTGTCAGTCAGTGATAGTGGAAAAGTGGTGGTGCTGAAGGGTGACTCGAGCAAGAAATATTGGATTGTGGATGTTTATGAGACTAATGGTCAGTTAGTTTGCAGTTTTGGTCAACAAATCTTGAGTCACCCGTACGACATCACTACTGTAAGTGATGGCAGAGTTATGGTGCTGCAAGAACGGGGTCCGAAAGTTGTTCACATATTCAGCGAACAAGGTGATCATCTAAACAAGTTTTGGTTGGAAAGGTCTGTATTCTTTCCAAAAATTGTATTTCACAGGGAAAGTCAACAGGTCGCCGTGGTCAGTACTCTGAATTTTTTTTCAGACGAATTGTACATAGACATATACACTAAAGATGGTGAATTTCTGCGAAGTATTTCTATCAATATGGGAAAGTCATTCTCTTCTCTGAAAGGGATTGCAGTGACCACTGAGGGATGCATTGCGGTAGTAACCCAGTTTTCAAGCAAAGTAATCGTCATTTAAAAAACGCACTGATTTCCCTTCTTACTTTCACGTTTAGTTTACTAACTAATTATTATGAACGATAAATTGGTGCTTTGCATCAATAATCATGTAATTAACATAATAAGTACAATGCCTTTATTTTTTACATGGCATGATGAAACTTGAGACTTGAGTTTCATGCCCAAAATAAAAGCTTTTATGGCCTCAATTTATTAACAAATGCGATGCAGTTGAATTTTCTTGGAAAATAAGTATTGCATCATTGATCATATAGAGACTTTATTGATGGCTCCAAGCTTACGCTAGAAATATGATACTTATTTGGAAACCAGCCTTGTGGTTCTCACTTCTTTAGATGTATTGATAAAATTGCATATTGTAACTGCCATATATCTCCTTTTACTGGGAGGAAATATTTTTGTTTATGTCATGGCAAGGTGACACGATCTGACACAGCAATAAGCTGAGATATTTGTTTATTCTCATTACCTGTTTACTGGATAATGTATGGATATTGTAAGGAGAACTTGAATGTGATTCTCTTGTGTGTGTGAAAGGGCTTGATATCCAGTCTCCCTTAGATTTATGTGCGTTATTTTATATTTTAATCATGGTGTTCCTGCCTTTCGATGATTTTAACATTAGCCTTTATCCGTCTGTTAAGCATAATACGTGGACAGTTACTGCTGTGATAGGCCTAATGTTTGCTTAAATAGTTTTGAACACTTGTGCTTTTCTTGTCGAATGTTCCATTAATCAAATTTAGTATTTCATTTAGCTGTTGTTTCCTGCGTGACAATTTTTAAACAAGACCAATTTCTGCTGTGAACTTTGTCGCGTGACAAAATCAAATGGTGAAAAATTAGTATGATCATCCTTGGAGATCAAATTAAACTTGTCAGCAAATGCTAATTATTTCATAGCTGGCAGAGCACGTGGGTGAGATGATGCGACTCCTTTGCTCTGCTTGGCTACTCAAGCGGGCAAAATGGAACTCTTGCCCGCAAACGAAAATTGTAAATTTTTTGTATTTAGTGGAAACTGAAATATAATCAGTAAATCTTATCACTTGCTGAATTTGTTCTTGTTTTCCCTTATGTTCTTCTTTTTTGTATGATTTCGTTGAACTTCGAATACGACTCTTGCCCCACAGCCTCCAACTTCCCGTACCACGTTCTCTCATCTCTAGTTCTTTTGCAACCCTTTGTTTCCCAACTCCTGCCCCTCTTTGTATTACTCCCGTCTTCGGTTTGATTAAAAGGACTATTAATTGAACTAATTGCATATCCATCATGTTAAATTTTCGCTCTTCGCCGGAAGCAGCTGTTGTCGTGAGCTGTATGAAAGCTGGCTCCAACGAACGATTCAAGTCACTACTCATCCATTGTTAAACCGTTTACATTTTTGAGCGTTCAGTTTAATTAAGCGCTGATAGACTGTTATTGCACATTATTGTTCGGCTGGTCTCGAAGCCACATTTTAAAACTACTCGGATTTCTTTGAGAAATTGAGATCTTTTTAAAACCTCTGCAGAAAGGTTTAAAAGTTGTTCATACATTCTATGATACATTTATTCAACTAGCGGTATGATTCAGCTATGTGATTATGTGATTGTAACATAAATATTTGCAGAATCGAGGACTGATTTTTCATTGCCACATACAAAAATACTGAGGCTGATCAATATGGCCAAAAAAACACTGAAACACTGTTAGAGAAGAGAAGAACTTACTGGTTTATCAATCATAATTTTAATATCTTCGAATTAGACGCACTGAAGGGAAATAATTAGTTTTTAGGGATGACGATGGGTGTATTTAGGTGTATTGTGACGCTCTGAATACCACAGCACGAGTGAATAATGGACGAAACATCGAAACTGCAATGTGTTTTCTATCCATGCATGATTTACACACACAACTGAACACAGACCAAAACACTGGTCAAAGTTCTTTCAAGTTTCGTTTTTTTTTTTTTTTTTTGCTTTTTAGATAGAGAAAGCTTTTAAGTTGTGTACCTGCCAAAACAAATACTGTGACAACCAGCTTTTGTTATTTTCAGAATTTATACTTTATAAGCTCCACTGTGACATATAGTTTTTCATGGTCTATTCTAAATTATGTAATAAGCTCAGTTATGCACGCATTTTAATTGGTTCTCACTTATGATCTATTGGAGGACAGACGTATTTCGTCATTATTAACACTTTTTTAAATTCTTTATTATATAAAACAAATAGATTCCAAGTTGCCGTACTTCTGTTCAGCAATAGATCACAGAGGACGTCAAAATGTGATAAGAACAAAGTGGCACACGAGGCGCTTAAGACGATTTAAGTACCGCGCTTAAGACGATTTAAGTACCGCGCTTTAGACGATTTAAGTACCGCGCTTAAGACGATTTTTCCAGGAGTTACCCCGTTTTGTGAACAGTAATCTCTTTCAAATTTTGCTCCATCAATTTCTTTTCAATCTTTCGCATCTTACGGACCCTTTGCCGCTACGATGACTTAAATAAATTTCAGAAAAAGATTTAAACGACATGGCTGGTTGATTATTTCACCGCAGGCTACTGAATAAGAAACAAAAGCAACGCCACTAATTTGTTTTGCCGCACACGGAGACTTTGACAACTTAACACACAGGAAAAAAACAGCAGGATTTCAGATCACCGCAATAACGAAATTTATTATGGTAATTAACTACCACTTTATTTCAAATTTGTTGAAATCACGAGATTCAGTCGTTGGATACAAAATGTCTCTCATTTTCCTGCAATTTGATCGATTTCTTTAACAAGTCTTGAAAATTGATTATTATATAGTTTATTACATCCATTTTGAAATCACAAGATTCAGTCGCTCAATACAAAATTTCTCTCATGTTCCAGCAATTTGATTGATTTCTTTAAACAAGTCTTGAAATTTGATCGGTTGTTGTATTTTTAGTAGAGCGCTCTCATTGGTTGGGATAAAGATGCGATTTATAAAATGGTGCGATTTGTCTATCAGATTGCAACGATCACAGGTGATTTTTAAAGAAATGTAATGAAGGATTTTATTCCCCGAAATATTCCATCAAAAACATCATAGTACAGTAAATACTATCGGTTCACTCAGTAAAGATGGCGACATTTTTGCGCAATCACGCAGAATATTTAAAAACCAGATAAATTGGTTTTATCAACTGAGTTGATAATGTAAATTGGCTGCTGAAAAGAGTTTCTAAGGCAAACGTTTACATCGTTTGTCCTTCATAAGAGCGTCAGTTGACAGAACCAAATTATCTCGTAATACCCCATGACGCAGCATCGCCATTACCCTTTTTATTCATGTGTTAACTAATTATCAATCATCCAGTACTGGACGGACTGTCACTTCATGTTGTGGCTTTTAAGGATCATTCGAGTTTTCGATCGCAAGTTACTAACTTACGATCGAAACTTACAATTTGCGATGCATTATAATTCAAGATCCCTACATATAACGCTCCATTACGGCGAGAGGACTTGTACATGAAAAGAGATGGACTCAAAACTGGATCAACACCGAATCCGAGCGGAAAAACGACCTCCACTTTATCCGTTTTAAGGCAAGTACGTATGAGTCGATGAGTCGGCATAAGCTCGCTCATAATACGCTTTTGTGCTTGCTTGGATGGTACGAAAACCTTTCTTTTCCTTGTACTGGTTCTAGTTCTTCAACCATGTTTGAAATATTTTTGTCGAGAATATACCAGTTCAGCCTCTTCCGTGAAACGTCACAAGTTTATGTTAACAACATGCACAAGATTAATTCTCTTTACACTATTTTACTTTTGTTTTTCAATTTCTTTCTTTTTTTCATTCGAAGGTTTGGCAGGTAAACCATTTTGGAGACTTGAGTGTTAAGCTTATTCATTTTTTTTCCTCGATGGACACATTTCGGAATCTCTGTGTTGAAATTTCTCCCCTGCACACATCAGAGTTCAACGAACGATTCTTCACAATCGTTTTTATTTGTTAAAATAATTGTGTTATATCATGTGTTTCACGATGAAATGCAGCGTTTTTAATTCGTTATAAATTCCTTTGTAGTTAAATCAATTAGTTTTTTCTGTGGAAATTGTTTTTCCATTTAGTACATAAATACGTAGAAAAACTTGCAACAGATAGAATATGGTAAAAAGTTGTGTCAATCATGGAAATTGGATTTACAAGCATTAAGAAGTATTTACTGTTATATACATCTTTTCAATATCATGAAGAAAATTCCGTGTTTGGAAGTTATGCATAAGAAAATAATTATTTATAAGGTATCATCATCTCAACAATACCTTTCTTTCGTTATTGCAGTTCTCTAAAGCTTTGGCTATAAACATTTCTGCTCCAGATCTGCAAACAGAACTTCGATAGAGTGATGATTTTTTTAAACATTATATTCACGTTTGCTCTAACCCCACACGGGTTAAATGTCTCATGAAAATTACGTCTATTCTCACTTTTCGCTCTTTGTATACGTAAAATATGAATATGTACATTTATATTACAAGAACGCTTGCAGTTCGAAATGAATCAATTAAACGCTCAAGCATATCTATCTGAGCTTAAATTGAGTCTGTTCAGATGAATCAACAGTTCATGAAGAACTCGCTTCTGTGGGCATGTCTCAATCGTGCAATGCGCATGTCGGCTCTGGATGCACTCTTCACCCTCCCCTCCGATACACACTGGCTGTGGATTAATACTAGGGAGAGAGGGTATGGTAGTTGTTGTCACAGTAAGCGGCCCTCTATCCTGCACTAGTCAGATGTTCGATTTCATCCGAGCTCTCAGCATCTGCCGGGTTCGCTCAGAGGATGTGGCCGAGCTGGAAGACATCTGATGAAAAAAAAGAGTAAGTTGAAAATCAAGCATAACAATTTCATGATATGTTAGGCTACGAATATTAGGCTATGCAAGGTCTGCATATGCAAGGTCTTCATATAAACACATACACACAACTCACAATTCCTCCATTCGCTCTGATGAAGGGCTAATTCTCGAAATGTTATCTTCGAAACTCTTCGCGGTGGCTAATTTACGTTATCAATTCAATTGATAATACTAAATTACCCTATGCAAGGTTTGACTGGTCTTCAGTCTTCCTCGTGGCGCTGGTGGCCATCACAGAAACCCGTGGGCGGAGGTGTGATGATAAAGTCCAGTGGAAAAGAGGAAAATGCCTTCTACCCTCCTTGCTCCAGCGGGGTTTATCATTACCTATTAATCGTTTTTAAATCTCACCGAGCTAATATTTGGCAGTCTTCATAAAAATGAGTTTTGCATAATGATGTCACAAAACATTGGAATGAAAGCTACAGGGCAGCGCGTTAGCGTGGCTGTGTTCATAACGAAAAAAATTTGTAATTTGTTATGCTCCGTGTTCATAAAATAGCTCCGTAACCCTCACCGAGGCTTGACCGTTGGTTCTTTTGCTTTACGGCTTGTGTAAGCGGTAAACTAACTGAGTGTGTGGCTAACTGACTATTTTTACGGTGCGAATTAATTCTTCGAAGTTTTAATCAGTGCTGTTAGTACTAACAAACAGAGAACCGTACAACAAATCGCTTTAACTGCTTCACGCTCTTTGATCTGAGGTAAGGTCAGTCGGCGCGAAGAGTCCCTAAGAATCTTGCACGTTCGGTTAGAGTTTTCTAGGTTAGAGCGATTTTGTAGAGTTGAATGGCTGACCTGGAAATCAAACACGATGTTTGAAGAGGATGAAAAACTACGAGGACGGAGCCAAACTAAGGACGATTGAGTTAAACAAGTTTAACGTAGGAGATAAACATAAATACAAAGTAGAAATCAAGTGTATGTTATTCAGTTGTAGCAAGACAAACGTATCGTGAGGAGGAGCTCAAAAAACTGAAGTGACTTCCCATGGAATAAGCGGGGTATTCAGTAAAAAGAGATTGCACTTTCTACAAGAAGTTTGAGAAAAACCCACCTTGGATGTGTGCGATTTTGTTGACTTCTTTTTTATTTTGGGCAGAAGCACCGGAGCCGAAGCACTGGAAAGAAAAAGACGGATAATGGTTCTTGACATAATACTATTTAGTGCTCGCTGTGACAAAATATCAGAAAGCTACTTTTGAAACCACTGTGGTATATGTGGCCTAAAATGAAGTTGTAGGTCTGATGGTCACCCTTAGCCCAAATGGCCATCGTTGTTTCAGTAAAGAAACCGGTTTCGCTTTACATAAGTATCTTTGTCACTTTAAAACTGAACTTGGAATCACTGTTGGTATCTAAGCAAATACGCTCCTGCCCCTCCCCAAACCCAACGACTGTCAACTGATAACAGGTTAGGGTAAATGTTGGGGTAAAATGATCTAAAAACTTCATAAGTGCATCTGCGTTTATGAGAACATGTAACTGTATAGCAAAGTGCCACTTTCTATTAAGGTCACCTTTGCACACCTAAAACTAAACTGCAGTTTTCAAGATTGTCTCTTAGACCAATGAGGAAATTCATTGATCGAAATTCATTGATTGTCAGTTGTGAATTAACGATTAATTTACAGGAACATGGGACGAAATAGCTAAAATAGGTGTAGAGTGAACTACAGAGATTAGAGTTTTGATGTAGAAATGAAAGAAAAAGATGAACACAAAAAGTGAAAGTTACTATATATTACCCTGATTCGTTAGAGCTTTCAGAATTTTCTTTATTCTTACGTCTACAAGAAGGAGCTGACTTACATCGTGGAGTTGTTCGAAGTTTTCTATTTGATAAAGAGAGGAGAAAAGAGGACAACAAAAAGAAAAGACAGAGTTAGAGTACCCAAAATGGAGGGTAAGAGAGGACGAAAAAGGAAAAACATCAGGACCGTCGTCTTTTTCCGGGTATCGGCCAGCAGAAAAAGAGGAAAGTAAAGAAAGAGAAGTCGAGATTAGTAATAAAGTATAGTAGAGGAAAAATCGCCAAACTAGAATGAGGATCCAAAATTTAAGGAGTAGGAAAAGGTTCAGAAAGAAGAACAAAGTTTCGTTTGTCACTGTCACATTTTGCCATGCGGATACTTCTCTTCTGAGGATAAGAGAAAAATGACAGACTTAAACTACAAGGAGATGTTTCGAAACAAATCCCTTTCCTGAGAACCCTTGATATGACCCTGTTCATGACTTTCCTCTGTAGCAATCTGTCGATACAACGCGTGCAACTTAACCGTATTGAATCATGATAGTTCCTTTTCTTCACATTCAACTCTTCAATAATCTGGAATGTGCGATCAGAATCTCACCCCTCGTCGCAAAGATGCGTACAGGTAATGTGAAATTAGTGATGAATTTTCAAAACCAGTGTCCCAAGAAAGACCGGGAGAAAAAAGAATACCTTTTGCCCTTAAATGATGTAACAGCTGATTTTCTCCGCGGAGAATTTTTCAAGATGGAAGCTGTGCTATTCCTAAAAAGGTGAAAAGCAAGAAATGGAAAAAGGGGAGAGAAATAATTGCATGGGAGAAAAGAACCGGACTAAGACTGAACTTTGAAGACTTTCACGCAACCAAATTTGGATATATTCATATGGGACATGTTTAAGAATATGAAAAATTGCTGACATAATACCTTTTGACAGTCTTAGTTGAAGAAGGAGAGGAAAGCCTACTAACAGTGAGGAAGGAAAAATAAAGTCAAAACAATCAGTGATGATCTCAATTCGAAACAGCGCGAGCAGTACAATCAACTTAGAGCTTAAGCGAGAAATGAGTCCTTCTGATTACCAATGGATCTGTTGTTGCTTTTAAAGTAGGTGTGCGGACTACAGAGTAAATACATAGCAAATACGAACTTGTAAACAATTTGAAAGTGTAATAAAGAAAGAAGCTTAACATTTCAAACAAACTCAAATATCTGAGCACGAAAACCAGGAAGTAGAGTGGCAAGAGAGCTTCTAGAAAAAAGCTTAAACAAGCTTAGAACGACTTTCTGAGGAACAAGGATGAACAACAAAGGAAGTAGAAAAAGGACCAAAGTCAACATAAAAGAAACTGCGCCAATCCCAAAAAACCATGCAGCACCTTTCCAGCATGTACCTAATAGAAGTAGATGAAGAGTTTGAGTTGCTCCACTCCTTTATTCTCGCAGCTGGTGCTGAGAAGCGTCTGAGAGAAAGAAGAAACGCTCAAGAACATGTAGAACACTGAGAATGGACGGAGAGTGACATGGTGTTTCAGATTGAGGGCAACCTATAAATTGACTTTAAATAAATGTTATCATCAGGAATATCAAAACAAACAAACAGCGATATGCAGTTTTTGTCAATCGACATTAAGTCGGAATTTAATTTTTTACACCGACCTTGATTTGATGAGTCCGTGGTCCAAACTGAGAGCTGGAGCGGAAGAGGACCTGTACGTTATACCTTGAGGGCAATTCCACTGTGAGGAAAAGGCGTCTCTCAATCAATTAATCGATAAAGCCTTAAATCTTGTGATCGAGCTATCAATCGATTACTCAATCAAACAATCAATCAGCCAGTCAGTTCTTCAGTCTATAAGTCATTTGATAAAAGCATTCATTCGATGGATCCGATTCAATCAATTCAGTCAGTCGGTCGGTCCGTCAGTCAGTCAGTCAGCAGGCCAGCTAACCGGTTACACAGCTGGTCAGTCAGTCAGTCAGTCGTCAGTCCATCGGTCAATCAGTTAGTCGTCAATCAGTCAGTCAGTAATCCAAATAGAATTTCGAACTATTTTCAAAATCTTTAAAGGAATGATTACTTTCTTTGCGAAAACAAATAAATCAATTAATAAAATTAAGCCTCACTTGATGTGTTGGATCCGAGGTTGCCCCAATATGAAGTTTCTTTTCACCAAGTGCTTGGAGAACAGCGATTCCTGTGTAAGAAAAAAGACCAATTTAAATAAACATTTACAGTGTAGAATCGTAAGAAACATAACACGAAAAAACTTAAGACCATAAGGGCAACAAAAAGACGCAGAATTTTAAAGAGTGACACGGACTACACTTGTTCAGCTCACGTTGTGGAACGCACGACTCCCGGTGTAGTGGTCTGGTTTTAAACTGGCCTCCATTTAAACCAGCTCTGAGCTGCACTGAGCCAGCCAGTTTAAATATCGCAAATACATACATAGACTGCAAATAACGTAGTTTACTTTTTCCGAATATACATTACGGTGACCTAGCTTTTTCTACCTGAATTTAAACTTACCCAGGACTGTGCTCCGCCCTTCTCTCATGTATTTTCTTGTCCATTCGTCCAACAAAATGTTGTAATATCTCTATAAGGAAATTTGCAGAAAAAAATTCGATCAAGGATGGAGGGAAGAGAAAGTCATTTTAAAAGAGAGCAAAATTGCTGGAGTCCGTCGCACCATTCGGGGAAAAAAAAACAGTGATTGAAAGAAAATGGTTGGCGCACCGCTCGGACCTCTGAGAGTGGCACACACTATAAGTATTACCTACTACAGAAATCCGCGCGGCGCGCTAAAATCTTCCTTTTTTTCTCTGATTTCTCTTGGTCGCGCGACGGACTTCGGCAACAAGCAGGGACTGCCCGTAGTTTAATGAGGCAGTAATAACTGTTTGTGCGTAAAATTATCCTCACCTGAGACTCAAAGAATCTTAAATACTTGTTGGACGACATGGATGGAAAAACTCTCTGAAAGCATCCTCTTCGACTATTCTGTGAGGGAAAATAAAAACGCTCGAGCTATGCTACATTACGGCAAGTTTCACTTTCTCGAATACATGGCAGTCTCTTATAAAGGATAAAATGAATTCACCTTTCTCTTTTACATACGCATAATCATCACAATAAGCAACAAAATTTATAGGTTTTGCTTTTCACTGCGAAGAATAAAGGAAACAAAAATATGTTCAAAAGTTCGAATGTACAGAGTACCTCATCTTCTGTCTCCATAAGCATTCTAATGTCGTCTGGTGTCAAGATGTCAAGGATTGACTGTTTCGTGCGCTAAAAGACATGAATGAAAGAGAAGTGGACTGATTACAAGTTTGTATTAGTAAAATTCCATACCAATAAATTCAAAATTCGAGTAATTCAAAGTAAGTGACGAACACAGCTAGAGATTGCATTGGATTTAACTGATGTTCCTTACGCTCCAACAACCTATGTGATTGTTTTAGAAAACTCGATACTCTCTTAAATAACAAGATGCTGATGTTCACTAACACAAATCCCAACTACTTGGTCCCTTTTGCCTTTCCGCGCTCGAAGCATTTTCCTTGATTTCACGGTAAATTGTCTTATCAGTTCATTGCGACAGTTTCTTTTTTTTATAATTTCTTTTTTTGACTGGCTGTGTGGTAACTTTCGTTTGGGTTTTGACGCAATTTATCCTGATGCATCCTAGAAAAGCCAGTAAAAGGGTCAAGTGTCTGTTGTCCAATGATACAGACTTTAAGCGCTCTCTGCGGCGTAATTTCGAGTTCATGAAACATGTAGTGTAACTGTCAGCAAGATATTTCAATAATAAAGGCATTGTGGGATTTCTAGATGCAATCATTTAAAAGAAAGGAATTTGAGGGGAAGTGTTATAAAATGCGTTCCTACCTCGTCTAGGTGACGTTGAACATAAAACGCATGCTGAAACACAAGAAAAATAACGTCCAACACTTAAACAAATTAAGACGACACACAAAAGAACAGTTTGACTTGGTTCGAAGTCAATTCCTTGTTACATTGTCGCAAATAATGGAATGTATCTATAGTCAGTACTTTTTAACATCATTTGTACGTTCTAATAATCCGTAAGGTGGGCTCATAAGTAAAATGATTAAACTATATGTTGGGGTCAGTGCAGGAGAAGTATTAAGTCAGCAGCAATCTCCGATACAAAAGCACTCAATAGAGCATGTCTAACTATTTCACTTCTTGAAACATAAATCTAGACTATTACCATACTACAGAATTTTTTTACTTTAGTCGTTGTCTCCACTGGAGGTAATTGACCTAAATGTATTTGTTGTTTTCAGAAATTGTAATCGTTATGACTGATTGGTAACAGGACCTCTTGTTGTCCAATTCTGTCTGTAATCATACTCTTGATTGACAAATTGGACTCCCGCTTTGCGGTCGTCCAATTTTGTTAAACTCTCGTATGATTACCGACCGAATTGGACTCCACTCGGTCCTATTACCATTATATATATGACGTTTTCACAGTAAATTAAGACTGGCAAACAACATAAAAACATGTTGTTCTAAATATCTGTAGGTATTTGCCATCCATAACATATATTCACCTTTCCTCTCTCATCTGAAGAAAGACCCGTCACAGCTTTATCTTGAACAAACTGGTTCATGTTACTAGTGCTGAAACCAACAGGAATTTCACGTTCATACTACATTATACTCATATGTGCGCTGCACAATGCAACCATATTGAAAAATTACAAGTTGGCGGAGTCACGTGCCTCACTATTCATCATTTGCAAATAGCTCGTAATTTCAATTTCTCTCTGATATTCCAATAGTTAGACTGACCTTGAAGTTGAGGTTGTGATCAGGTTTTCTGGGATGCAAAACCCTGCCAGGTTTAACAAGTCTTTTATCATCTGTCCCTTGATGTTACGGTCCAGTTGAGAGGTGGAGTGAAGACTGGGGAGGAAGTTGACGAAGTTTACTCGATTAACGAACGCACATTTTTCTGCGCATCTCAATACGCACCTAATTGTACATCTTACTGCGCATCCTATTGCACACCCTTTTACACAACTTGCTGCGCATCTTATTGCACTTCAGACAAAGAGTAAACAAAACGAATACTCGTAAATGTCCCGCAATAAATCAATTAACACAAGATGTGCATTAAAAAGCATTTTGAAAAATAAGTTAAAAATCATCCTCGTTTTCGATGAGAAAAATTATAAATGGCAGCCTTTTTGTCCCTTACTATGTTCCAATGTCTGGCGGACCATGGAAAAAAATTTTTTTGCATGCGAAAACAATTATTTGAATGGGTTCAGAAGAACACCATAGAACTACAATCCCTTAAGAATGAAAATTTTTGAGTTGGATACATATCCCTCGCGAGGTCAGTATTTCAATCTCTTGAGTATGTGAATTTCGGTTGAATACTGGTATCTCTCGCGTGGTCAATATTTCTGAACATGACAAATGCGTGAATTACCTTGGAGATATATTCACTTCTAGTAGCCACGGCTTAAGGGTCTCATCCAACATGACATCAAATCCAAAAAGCTCATGACAGCAAGATCTAGACAATGTTGTAGATGGTAGTAAAGGTTATACAGTTAGTAATACTGACCGAGTTAGATGTTCCAGCGGGGAAAAAAAACAGATTTTGTAACTTACCGTACGGACCATGAAAACGAGGTTAGTAAGATATTAACGCAGTACATTAAAAAAAAAACCGCACTTCTGATTAGCTGAAAACGAGCGCATTCTCGTGTAACACGAGTGCAAAGTTGTAGCACAAGTGCAAGTTACAAATGGCGCGCGCACGCTTTCAAATTTCGTTTGTCTCGACTTTCTGGAATGTTTTTTCAAGAACCAAGTACTTACATAATTTTTCTTTTTCATAACTTTTTCTTTTTGGTGTAATAAGCACTTGCAAATTTTTCAAAGATTACAAATAGCACTTGCCCTATGAGCTCATGCAATTCTGTTGTCTTTGAAAAATTTACTCGTGCTTATGAGCACCAAATTACACTCGAAATCATGTTAATACTTACACTTGTTACATCTCTGGGTTCAAATAGTGCGCGAAGATATCAATTCCAACAAAATTTTGAATTGAGGGGGGCATACAGCCATAAACAGCCCGGTAAATAGACCAATCATAACGTACGCACTATAACTAAACTCTGTTAAATGCACAAATGTTGTTCAAGACCAACTGCACCCTCTTACCTTTTTCTCACATTCTGTTTCACCATGGTGTTTACCGCTGAGTCAGACCTGAAACATTCACATGAAGAAGTTCAATTACACTAAATTTTCTCGTGCATGCTAAGATTAAGAAACGACGAAAATGGTGAAAATGTAGAAATCAATAAAAATAGATCTTCAGATTCTTGGACAAGCACAGCGTAATGACAGGGTTCAAGTTTTCCGCAAAATGCGACAAAAAATGTATCTAAAGTGATAATTTAGATGCATTCATTATTATCTACAAAGTTTTCAAAGTTATCATCTCTGTACGTAATAAGACATTTGCTGCTAATAAAACGTTAAAATTGATAAGTAAACGTGTCGGTATATTGTTTTTGCCGCTACGCCATCTTCGCAGGAACTCATTCTATAATGCTGGCGGCTTCTGCCTTTTACGGCCAAACTAACGCAAGTCCAAACTAGTTGAGTTACTAAAGAAACTTCAACCTATGGACTATTGTGCAGCTGTACTTGTCAAGATGGATTTACTTACTTTCCAGTGAGTATTACTTTACAACAACAGCACTTTCTGTTACTTACGCTATGATGGCTTTGACAACCAAATCCTTTATTGTCTCCCAAACATGAACATGGTTGATGTTCATGCGTTTCATGTAACCCCAAAGAGCTTTCAAACTCCTACAAACAGAAGCGTCACGTTTAATTAGCAAAATGGAATGTTTATTTTTCAGCTTATCTATGAGAAAGGTTGCAATCAAATTAAATACAAATGTACTCCAAATGTAAATGTACCATGACTTGGAAGTACTGACAGAAAGAATCATTTTTTGACGACGGCGTCGGAATATCGTCTGTACTGAGCTTGCTCTACCCCAACACATTTCTTTGCAGAGCTAAACAAATTAATCGTTTACACTTTAAAATTAGTAACTACGTTCTCCACACTGAAGTCAATCACTGTTAGGGTTTAGGGGTTAAAGCTTATTACAGTAAGTACATGTACATGTACAAGTGAATGAACAACACTACTTTATCCTACCATTTGTGTCCCTGACAAACAGTTTCATCTGAATTCGCTTGGTAAGCTCCTTCATTCTTTTTATTGATGCTATAATTTGTCAGATGCATGAACTTGTTGCTCAAACTTTTCATGGATGATGAGTACCTTGAAAACAAAATGGATGGGAATCTTAGGAGGTGTACAGTGTAGCGTTGGACAAATTAACCTTCACAACTACTTAACCATGCACACATCTATTTATTGTATGTCATACTTGAGTCTTTGAAAACTTACTTGCATGTTGCAAATCTTACAAGCCCATCTTCAAAGACATATATCCTCAGAGGATCGTATGAAGTGACGTAGACATAGATTCGAAGATCAAACTTGCTTCCATTGATGAGAAACGGTTTGGCAAGGTACCTAAAAATCACAACAATGATGATATTAATCAAATTGTTACAATTTCTTCAAATGTGATTGGTGCATTAGCTGCTTTATTCTACACTAAATATTCGGTACAGTTGTAATCGGATAATTGGCTGTAATCGGACACTTGCAATCCGACAGTTGAAGCAGCCAACCATACTTAGTCCTTTCTGTCAAATCCACTAATCACAAAATTGATCACAATAACCACAGCAACAACCACTTATCCTAGGAAAATTGTGGAATTTCCAAAAGTTAAGGAATTTTCCATCTAAACATTTTCTCTCCTACACATATTTGTCCTAAATGTATTTGTTGTTTTCAGAAATTATAACTATTGGTAGCAGGACTTTGAGTCATCTGATTCTGTCTGTAACTATACATGTGAGTGACAAATCAGACTCGCCCTTTGCGGTCGTCCGATTTTGTAAATCACGCGTATGATTACAGACTGAATTGGTCCTACTACCATTATTAATGACTAGTCTAATCTTACGAACATGCTAAGTGCTCACTCAGTCATCAGAGCTTAACGAATTATAGTCTACAACAACTATTGTGCACTGTACAGCTAAATTACAATTCAACAAGGATTAGTACCACTGCAGAAGAATTACAGCCTGTTAATGTTTGAATTTATTCTGGGGGTGTGCTTCATTTTTTTGGGGAAGTGGGTGGGAAGAAAGGCAGTCAGCCTGTCAGTCTTAGCCTTGCAGTGATGATTGTCACCCATGAGTAATGAAACTCTGGACTTGAAATCTCTAAAGGTTGTGGCATCTCTCTACCATGTATACACAATTAATGTACATGTACTAGAGCATTGCAATTGCTGAGTATTATCCCTACGATACTGAGTAGTACATACACAAGTTATGTACTAGTTAAATAAACTCAGAGGGAGATATACAGCATACCTCTGAACAATAACAGGTCTCTTCCTTGGAATTTGATTCCACTTGTGAATGACACGGATTCCAATCCCTCTGGCTGAAGCAGGCTGTACATGAAAAAAAACAGATTAACGCTTTAACTCTCAGAGTTGATTAACATGGAACTTCTCCCTATGGTACAGGCAGAAGTTGCTATCTTGATCTAACACTAAATTTTCATAACTGATATATGAGGAAATGTGTAGCAGCTAGAGAGGAGAATTAACAATCAGATCTTGGGAGTTAAAGGGTTAAAAAAATCTAACGATACCATGCAAATCAAAGACTTAATTGCTAGTTATATAATTGATTAAGTACAGTCTTGACATGTTAGTCACCCTTAAATTACCTCCAAAAGGGTCATAACATAGGCACATAATCGAGGCTGTACTATGGATCGTCATGATAAAGATTAACTCAAGTTTGCACAGTGGTGAAATGCCTTAAATACAGTGGCAGTCACAAAAAAGGGGACCATTCAAACACAAAAAAACTTTTAACAGACAACAGTATAATGTTTTACTTGAAATTGTAGATAATTACTAGTGACTGGTTTACATGGAAAACATTGATACTACTCCAGAGAAGATGTTACACTAGTGTCATGAAACTGCACATAAACTATTTTAGATATATCCAGGGTTTTTAATACATAATTATAACAAAGGCAATGAAATGCTTCTTACTGGCTTGAGAATCCATTTCTGTCGACTGCTGGCATCGTCCCAAGCCCTTTTCAGTAGTTTCATGTCATAAGGCAGAACATAAGTTTGTGGAACAAAACCGTAATCCTGTAGAAATGACAACAAAGGTGCCAGTTAGTAATGAGGGATGTTCTATAAAATCATTATGGATACAAGCTTAAGCCAAATGAGCTCAATTCCTTGACTTCAGCTGAACACCTGGTATCAGTATGTTCTGCATTATAATCTGCTCTACACAATACAATTTGACTTAAACTGGGCACATCTCCATTACAGAGGTTGGAAAAGGGGTGTCAGAACTCCAACAATGATATGTTTTTTTTGACTGCTAGGTTAACTTAAAATTTGCATCTCCCTTGTGAACTAGAGTTGAAACAAAATCCCCAAATTGCAAAAAAAAAAATTAATAAATAAAATAAAATCTCAAAAATGCAACCATCCTTGAATTCAGAATCCCAGATTTTTCAGTGCAGATTTTACTAGTCTAAGAATGGCTTCGCTCCCAGATGGTCTAGGAGAGTTCGATTCCAAAAAATGTACCAGTACATCAGGCTGGAAATCACACAAATCAGTTCACCCTTCAACTTCCATGAGTGACCAAGACAGAATTTTTACTTACGATATCAATATAATATCAACCAGATATTAAGTGATGCTTGACAATAAAGAATATAAATTCTCTGAACTAACATACATGTAATAAGAATTGTATGGTTGACAGTAAGGAGAATGACAAATTTGATGTGGGAGTTGAAGGGTTAAGCATACAGATTTTCACATTCTGTTAGAACCCAGCTTCTTTATAAAATGATTTAAAGTACCCAATGTAAATAGTTTCTGATGAACATACTTTTTTTCCATGATGCACCATCATACGGGAGAGATTTCTCCACAATCTGTCTTTTCTCCCAATTTGAAATGTACCAGGAAAGTGGTTAACCTGGAAAAAAAAAAACATGTAAGAACTATACATTAAAAGGTAAAAACTTGGCATGACCATGCAGCAATAGTACCAGCTAGTAACATTATTTGCATGTTTTCTGAGTGATGAGCTCTCAAGCTTATCCTTGCATCTTTAAACTTTAATGAGGTCAAACTGTTTTTCAGGCACTGAAGCTTGGGTAAATTAACCCTGAGAAGAACAGAAAGCATTCTTATTCAACCTAAGAACATATGTTAGTTATACTAACATAATTATCACTTATTTATAATGTACATGCATAAAGTAGCAAGGCTACACAACAGTACATGTAGCTGCAGGGTTGGGTTGTAACTAACCAAAGGTTACCCAACAATTTTTCATTAAGCTTTGTAGTTTTGCATACCATTATAATTGTTTACATTTTTTTCCTTCAGTTTCATCTTACAGTCTGAGGTAAAACCCCTCAAAATGTAATCCCTAATATATATACAAGTACACTTCAAGAGAAACCAAGGAAAAGTCAAACTTTCCTTCCTGGTTTAAAACTTACCGCCTTTGGGACGACAAACCCTCTATACTGTGACCCACAATTAACAATTTACATAATTTAAGCATAGTTACTACAGATTGGTCAGTTAGATTCATAGACTCATACAAAACTTTAAGCCTATAAGTATTTTTATTTCAGACTCAAAAAAGGAGAAAAAAAATTGTGTAACTGTTAATACTTAAAACACGTAAGAACAAAGATGACTTCTTACCTTTTGATATTCTCTGACAGTTTTAAAACAGTTTGCTTTCATGTGTTTGCCCCAGTATCCTAGCCAGTCATTCCCTGCTTAACAATAGACATTAATCAAAATATTAATTTAATGAATATTTTTCTTAAACACCTTTCTCAGGCATCTTCAGTGAGATGTGCACAATTGTACAACTAATTCTTACAGAAAAACCTGACTACAATGTAAATTTTAAGAAACTAAAAGGTTGAGACTGGGCTATCATATCCAGTCTGTAGGAGTCAGAAGATTTAATACAGTCCTTCCTTGCTTTCTTTCTATGGAAACCAAGAGATGTGTACCTTTTACATTGGGAGCTTCTACAAAGCTCTAATACAAAACATTAGCATACAGTCTTCCTCACCTTCCCTATAAGTATATAAGCAAGTTTATGCAGCCATGTAATTAAAACTACTCGTAGTTTTTCAGGACAATGGGGTAAATGAAAAGATTTGAAAATCTCTTTCAAGCTTGTTCTCTGATGCTAACTACAGTGTACATAAAGACATTCAGCACATAATCCAAACCAGTTTTTCCACACATTGAGACAAAAATAGGGAGATTAATTATTTTACATGTTTGCTTTCTGATGTACAGTAACGACATGTCATGTACGCAATTGTATACACATATTAATCTAAACTACTTTACAGCACTTAAAACAGACAAGCAAGGAAACTACTTGCATGACTAAAATCAGTAATAGAATAACAACTTACTCTTAGTTGGTTTAAAGCCAGCTCTTGCAATACACTGCTTGATAACATTTGGTGTTATAGAACTCATCTTCCACCGGAGGAGTTTTCGCAGTTCAGGTGAAAGTTGACCCACTACAAAAGATCATAGAGATACACTGTACATAAGTTACCATAGCAAATATATTCAGTATACAGGTACAGTACTGTACATTAAATGCTTAGAGAAAAAACTAAAAGTACTTATTTTGCTTTAGATTAAACAATATTTTGCTCCCAATTTGTGTTTCATGATTTTAGTACTCAACACTGTACATGACTGCATGCAGCTGAAATGGACTTACCTATAACAAGACAACATTCAATATCATAACACTAAAAGGCTGGAAAAACTTTTTTATACTGCATGTTAATAATGATTCAGTGTCTAGTCGACAAGGTCATTTCGTGATTGCATGTTGATTTGAATCCCACTAATCTAAGTTGATTGTTTATACATTAAATATATAATTGAGAAAATCATATAATTATACAATGAAGACCATTAATTAGGAATGTACTTGTACTAAGTTTAAACTTACTTTGGATAAAATTACTAAAATATATCACAATAAAATCATGCATGTGCTGTGGGAATATTATTCTGAACTGCAATTCCAAGTGATAAACTTCAACAAATGTTTATACTTAATTGACCCTTGCCCCTAAGAGTGACTAGCATCTAATCTCTCCCTACAATATCAGCCCTGAATCAAACATTAAGGTCATGAGAATAAAGGAAATGATCACCAACTAAAGAAACTATTGATTGTTAAACAAATTCTCCTTGCCAGCACCTTGAGAAATGTGGAGAGAAGAGCATGGAGAAAATAGATACTGAGGTTAGGGTGTAAAGGTTTAAAGTTTATGACGCTGAGAAAACAATACCTCCTTGAAGTGTAAAATATACAGTTTTATATTCAGTTTACCTTTTTCTCCCTCCACAGAAAAGTAGATGGTTGGAGATATATGAGGAAATAGGCTGGGTACTAGAGGAGGAATTTTCTCTTGTTTTTCATCGTCACCTGTTGATGCCCATGCATTTGTTTTTTTGGATGATGCAGAACTTGGGTTTGATGATCCTACTGTACCAGACCATCTGCGAGTACCTAACATCATTGGTCTTGCACTTGATGCTCTACTTTTTGCAGTAGAAACACGAGAGGAAGCAGCTGTGCTGATCAGTGACTGAGAACCATCATCATCATCACCATCAGAAAAGCCTGCTGTAATATAAAAGCAACATTTTAACATTATAGCATATTTATCTCCCTTACATTGTGCAATAGCCAACAGTTGATATTGTGTTAAGACAGGCATTAGTAAAAATTGAGTTGTGTTCATCAAGTCAAATGCACTTTAACAAGAATACTCTTGGGAAGTACCTTAAAAGAAAAATCTTTACCAGTCCTTTGAATTGTTTATTTGTCTTTGTTTCTTTGTTCCATTCATTTAAACTTTAGAGAAGAATATGTCATTTCACAATATTTCTCTCAGAAAGTTTATCTGTAAGTGTTGACTTTGTGTAAAGACTCGCATTTCCCAGATTTCTCAGATTTCACAGTTACCATATTACACTCTAACTGAGAATTTGACCAGGTAAAAATTAAGTGTCAACATAATGGTTAAGAAAACTAAGTTTCAACTGGTTAAAGCTAATCTCCTGAACACATATATGACTGTGTCATGGGGCAAGGGTGCCAAGATTTGATGCAACTGCTGTAAAATATTCAAATGTCTGCCTGCCTCAGCAACAACAACAACAAAAGCAGGTGACTGAGTTGAAATTAGCTTTTTTTTTTCCAAACTGATCACTATAGTTCTTGCAAAGTGCATTATTAAAGCTTGGAGTTTGCCAATTTCAACATGAGTATTAGTTATTACCTTCATCAAGGTCATCGCCTTCATAGAAATCATTGTCATAGTTGTCCTCAACAGACTCATCATCATCATCATCATCATCATCATTCTCCTCCATGTCGCCATCTTCTTCTTCTGCATCTTCATCTTCTTCAGCAATATCAGAGATACATCCATCGCCCGGCATACGCTCCCATGACGGACACCTTGACTTCTCGTAAAATTCCTCATTCTCTAGTGATTCTCCATCTCCGCTAACCCTGCTTTCGTCAACAACACTGTCTTTTTTTCTTACGTCGTAAAACTTTCTCACCATATAATTCTTTCCACGAGGCTCTGTAGGAGGCGCTGGCTTAATGTTCTGATCATCAGTTCTCCTGCTGTTCTGAAAGCCGACCGACTTTCGGTTTTGAGGGGGATGCGGCATGAACTTGAACGATTTCTGTGGGCTAATAGGCTGCGATTTGAGAACAGGCGGCGTCGCTTTTGCTCTGGATAACTTGCTCAAATGATTAGTAATCTGAATCCCGTTGAGCTTCGAAGATAAAGCTTTATCAAGCTGTACCTTGGAATTCATGACTTCGTCCTCAAAAGCACCCCTCAGTAAAACGTAAAAACATGAACAATAGATGTGACGCCTTCGTGTTGATACGCTTTCACTTCCAACAACGTGCAAAGTAAATAACTTGTGTGGCTCGAAGTTTTAGTGTGATCAATACATTTTTACGGAGTTTAAATACACGTTTCGAGGCTTTAATTGTTCTAAAGAATTATTGTAGCAAAACAACTTTCCGACGGTGAAATACGAAATATTTCTCTCCTCTGAGTTGATTGCTGACAGTTCGACAGAGTCGCGTTTCTCAGTGCATTGTCTAACAAATGAGGGTTACTTTAACTGGAGAGGCTAACAAACATTTCTTACCGTTGCCAATGATTTGTAGCACAACAAAAAGAAGCTGTAGTAAAAATTGTTTTTGTGAAGAAATAAAAATTAAAGCTGGTACCACCAGGTGTACAGTGTAGATGCTGAAAAACAGATACTTGGATTTGAAGGTCGATTCGAAATGTTTCGCCTTGTATCTTAATTTTCGTGATAAATCGACTTCCTAGAGACCTGAATATCCTCTGATTAGCTCTTGACGACTTTGAGATCCAGAGCAGAGTTAGACTTTGAAATCTGACGTCTTCGCACTCTCAAATAAAGCAGTCAAAACCAATACAATCCTTTACTTACTGGTTTGAATAGCTGAAGAATTCTTCATTAATTTGACGTGATAATTCTTTCGTCAAATAATTCCCTGATTAGCTCACCAATCGAGCGTTAAAGCCACAAACTTCTTCTACAGAATCCAATCTCTACGATGGACTCTACAAATCCGTTGATTTTGTCCTTACCAGTTATTGTTTACCCTTCGAATCACTCCGATGATCAACTTTAGACGATGAAAAGTTACAAACGGTGTGATCGATAATGGACCAAGGAAAAGTCGTTGATCGTTCAAAACAAACGCTGTACCTCGTAAAAAGCTTTCAGATTCTCAATTACAGTCTTTCAGATCAAAGGAACAAAGTCAAAAGCCAAGTTTCGCAGCTCACATAAATCTCGAAACTTACTCCATTTCTGCGCCGGGTAAACTGGGCAAACTTTGTTGATAACCGTGGCAACGAATCGACCAATCACAGCGACGTGCTTCGCAAAGCACAATGCCCCTTACAGCGTCAGGGCACTCATCTCTTATATGATATCATACTAGATATAGCTATCGCTAAGTGCCAACGAGCAACCAATGAAAAGAAATACTCATTGGTAATGTTAAAAAATGGAGTCATGTTTTGTGGGTGTAAATTTTAGTAGTGAAGTATTCCAACCAACGTGAAATGTTTTAAATTTTGAGGTGAATATGGTGAAAACGAAAATAAGTTTCTTGATTTTACATTATTGCAATACAAAAGTTTGTGCTGCAATGATAGCCAAGTGTGTTTTCTTCCCTTTCTAAAAATTATGTGTAAAACTGAATAATATAAGGTAATACAGAACAAAAATGAACCCACAATAACAACTCTTAATTGTATATGAACTGTAACAAAATATTTCTGAATCACTAAATAAATTTTTTCTTCACAGTCATTCAACTGGGATAGCACAACTATTAAGTTTGGGATGCATGGGCCAGTCTGAGATAACACATGCTACATCAGTATTAAACAATAATTTTAATTTTCCAACATCGTTCGAGACAGTCACACAATGTTATTGGACTGTTCACACAGAATGAACTAATCAGAGTTTACTTCTGGACGTTTAAAGGAAAGAACTTTGTATTGTTCATTGTTTGGACATTGTTGACCAAACAAATATTTTCTTCGAGACAATATAAGATAAACTTCAACGTCATTAATTTTATCCTTAATTAAGGGATGTATAGAGCGAAATCTCTAACACATGAATCTAAACTGTAACAAAATATTTTTCATTCACTGCTATAACGTTCCTCAAAGTCAAACACCTGGGAAAGCAGATGCACATCTTTTTAGCTTTGGGATGCATGGGCCAGTCCGAGACTACACATGTTACATCAGTATTAAACAACAATTTTAACTTTCCAACGTCCTCCGAGACAATCACACAAGGGTATTGGACTGTTCACAGACAATGTGCTAATCAGAGTGTACTTCTGGACGTTTAAAGGAGAGAATCTTTGTAATGTTTGTTGTTTGGACATTGTATACCAAACAAATGTCTTCCAGAGACATAAGATAAACTTCAATGTCATCGATTTTATCCTTTAGGGATAAGGTTGATCCTGCCAGCAGGGTTTCTAGTTGCTCAGTGAAAGCCTGGATCCACATCTCTTTGCTGTTGTCACCTTCTGATTCAGTGATAGAAATTTTTGCTGAAGCCTGCAGTTTGATATCTCTTGATCTTTGACGTGTACCACAGTTTTCACACTTCAGTGTGGTGCAAGTGAATGATTCAACATCATTTAAGCGTTTTTTTGCACACTTTGCAGGAACAAAAGATGTTTAGCTTTGACACCAAATTGAATTCTGAAGCAGTTACTTCCTTTTCTGGACTTTTGAGCATATCTGGTCCAGTCAGGGTTTGCACTGTTTGTGTTGTAAGGTTTGCTGTTGTGTTTGGCGATGTACTTAGATACGTCGACCCTTGGAAATTCTTTACTGTCAGGTTGGTGAAGCAGTATGATTTACCCGTTGTCAAGGTATGGACAAGGGGTTCCCAAATGTGAATCATTGATGACCCAGTGTTGTCCTCCAACACGCAATCTTCCTTCACATGGGCTGTTGCTCCAGTGGATCTGAGAACAACAGCCTTGAGGTCTTCTTTTTCCCATAGTGAGGGAACCACTGACATTGACTTTTGGTTTGGGTGCAAACCTTTTACATTCGACACAGTAACTGACTTTTGCAGCACTTGATTCACCTGCACTTTCAAGCTTTGGCTGCTCGGTGTAACAAAATGATACATCTGACAAGCCTGCTTTATGTACGGCAGATTGTTGATTGAAAATACATTCATTGTCGTCTTTTTACAATAATGTTCTTGAGCTGTACTGGGCTCTTGGTTTCCTCAAAATGTTTTAAGGAATCATGGACATAGAGATTAAATCCTACCAAACGTTTCACTTTAGTGGGTGAAGTTTGAAGCTGAAATTCATACCACTGATGCTTTGACTTAAGGGACTTCTTAATTGGACTGAGGTTGTGAATAAACCCATGGTCGTTTGCTGCAAGTAAACAATTAAGATGGTTAGAATATGCATAAGAGAATTATGTTTGATTGGCATGGTAATGTCAAATAATTTGGGGGGTTGGATATTTCAAGAAAATGACACATTGCAGGTAAAGCTTGAAATATAAAGGAGTCAGCATGTACTCATTATTATGAGTGAACAACAATAACCAAGAACAAAATTGCCTCTACCTTTCACAGATACAGTAGTCAGGTGCTAGGGGCTGAGTTGTTGCAAAATAACAGGGACACCAGTTGTCCCTGTTTAGTCTTAGACTACTTAAAGGGGCATGAATTCTGTATTTATAAGATAAAATAATTATATTCAGTACTTACAATAAGTCCTTTTGCTTGCCATCGTCTGCAACAAAAAATTTTTTTAAATTAAAAATACATCACACATAGATACATATTTTATTGACTTTCCTCCAGAGGCTTTTCAAAGACAATAATTAAATCAAGTCAAACAAAGAAAAACAGGGGAACACAATAATTGGTATTTGGATGTCTTGTTTAGCTTTTGGAGAACATGCTTACTGTATTAAGTCAAAGTTACTCATGATGACCATTTTTAGAAGCATTTAGAGATAAAGAATCAAGTCTCTTTTCTTCAATTAACCTATATTTCAAAAATTTTGATTTTTGTAAGCTTGCAACCTTTCAAATGTCATTGGCTCAATTATGAGATCTTGGAGTCTTTTTTACTCTACTAAGAGCCACATATGTCATACCAGGTGAATTCTCTGAAGGGCCGAGATCTATCCATGCTTTTTAAGAGTCAGACCTTGGCTTTTGTGAATAGTCATAGCCCATGCTAGCTTTAAAGGAAGTTGTTGTCTTTCACATGTGTGACCTATGTTTTGTGAAATTTGGGTTATTGGACAAATTGGAACGCATCTTGGAACACTTGCAGTTAAAGAAGGTCCATTATATTGTTCATCAAACTGTACAAGAACACAAATAGGCAGGGCTGGAGGAGTTTGCCCATCAGCATATACAAAATCTAATACAGTTCCTAGTGCACCATTACAAAGACCAACTTCTGTCCACATGTTCATAGTGAGCATAACTCTAGCACCTTTAGCTAAATATATGACAGGTTCTAATCCTCCCATTTCATCAGAGCTAAGTGTTTGAGCACCACCAGAATGACGGGCTTTGATTGTTGCTATTGGCTGGTTTAGATTTTTTAATTTGATCAAGTTCATTTCTGCAACTTTTGCCTTCAGATAGGATAGCCTTACAGATGATGTTAGGAATTCTTCAATATTTGTTACATTTTCAGGAGTTCTAGATAACAATGTCTGCAATCTGCCAAAGTGGATTCTCCATTTCGTGCTCTAATGAGGAGATCTCTAAAGCAGCTGTGGGCATTAGTTTTGCCATCAACTCTATGATTCACTGACAATGTGACGACTTGTTTGAACTCTTTATATATGAGGTGACCCTGAATCTGTTTTTCTGATTTTGGCAAAGAATGGAAAAGTGGTTTATCACCAACTGGGGATAACTGTGCTATATCACCGACCAGAATAACAGAAAGACCACCAAAAGCTTGATCAGCTAAACCTGTAGCTTGCCTGCATCTACAATCTATCCACCCAAATAAGCTCTGGCCAACAAATGAATATTCGTCTATAATCAAATACTGAATGTTTTGTAAATTAGTTTGAAGTTGTTGCAAAGCTATTCCTTTCAATTCAAGAGTCTTTTTGAACCAATTGGTAGTTTGAGGAAAGAATGCAGTGTTACACCCTTGACATTAAAAAGAGGCCTTTCCAGTATATGCTAGTACTTGACATTTTTCCTTAAGAACATTTCTTACAGCATCAATAACATAGCTTTTTCCTGAACCTGCAATTCCTTTAACAAGTAGATGCAAAGGCAGTTCATTACTGCTGTTGAAGTGATTTAGAATGATATGGTATGCCAACAATTGATCGCTACTAAAACTTGAAATATCTATTACTCTTGATGATATGTGCCAACTTGGTTCATTTTTATTTTTCTGAGTATTTAACCAAGAAGTAACAGAAAGTAGATCAACATCGTCAAAATGTTCACTAACATTGTGCCAATATCCTTCAGGAGCTAACGTCGAGTTATATTCAGTATCTGTGCTCAACTCCTGTAAATTCAGTTCTGACATAAACATCCACTCTTCCTTTTCTTCCTCTATAATTTCCATGTTTTCATTTTCATTTTCCAGATTAATGGCTGCTTTTAAGCTGCTCAATTGCAATTCCCAGTCAGGAACACTGTTCTTCCCACAATCACTACACAAAAAGTTCATCCAACATGCTTTATAAGTTTCATCACACTGTTCAAGATTGTCCCATGCATTGTCTGCTACATGTTGCCAAGGTTTATATTTTAGCAGTTGATATTTACAGAACAGCCCATACTGCTGATTTTGAGGATTTGAAGAAAATTTGGGATAAGTTTTAACTATTACAGCTTGCTTCCTTTTCTCCAGTTTTGAGTTTTTGCTTACAAATGTGGAGGTAAATTGCAAAAATTATATGTCAGTATGTCTGGAAATGTCTTAATAAACTTCTCTCGCTCAGCATAAATATCCAACATGGATGGGATTGTACAAAAATCCTTATTTTTGGACACCTGTACTCTTCGTGAACCATCAAGAGATGTATTTATTACTTCATGTGTTGCACTTACACATTTGAGTGAGAGTAAATGATGCATAACTTCTTGGATTGAATAATCTCGTTGTCCGACACTTTTGATCATAATTTGCTTCAAAATGTTATGAATGTCACTTTCGTCCGATGCTTTACTAATTACATTGGTGAATGCATTATTTAGAACTGAAGAAGCTTTTTCTCCTTTTGATGTGTATTTCACAAGATATTCCAAACATGCCACATAATCTATAATAATTTGAATATCACAATTTGCCCTCCATCCTTGGAGCTGCAGTGGTTGGTGACGATTTAATCTTGAATCATTTCGCTTAGTAACAATGGTTGCTCTATACTTGGTTTGGCCTGATTTAGTGTTTATTGGTTCAAAATCTATTCTTGTCTTTGGGCAATTTTCAAAAGGAAATTTGAATCTACAGGCTAATTCATTTTTGCTAGTTTCCTTAGACAATACTTAGTACTGCACATTGTATGTCTCTCAACAGAGTTTAATAAATTCACATAGTCTTCCTCTTTTGTTTGCCATTCAAAGACAGATACTGGGTTTGACATGGATGAGAATCTGGTTTGGACCACCCTTCTTCTGGGGAACATGGATTCCAAGTTGTTAGTATAAAGTCAACATACTGACAAACAACAGACTCTGCTTGTATACCTTGATTTATCTTAGTCTCCAGTTCTAATATTTCTTCTTCTGACAAATTTCCTTTGTTCTCATTGATATGCTTTGATGCTAAAAACCTTGCAATGCAATTTCTGTCAGTTCGCAAAGTCCTGGATCATTTTTCAATTTTGCAACTCCATGACAATGAATTGAACCTCTCTGAACTGCATACTCAGATCTGTACCAATGCCAAGAAGCCCCTAATGACTCTTTTTAACCAAAACTTGACAAAACGATCTGTTCGCTCAGTAAAAAACCAATCCAAGATATGTGGATTTTGAAGAACATTTTGCTGCCTGATTGCTGGTTGAAGTGTTTCAGAGTGAGGGTCACAAAAGAGTTCATGAAATTCAGGCCAATGGTACTCAGCACAAGATAAAGTAAAAATATAGTAGGCGGTCCTACTTGAGCAATGGTTGCTCGCAAATCCTCTTTAGCTTTGTGCCAATAGCTATTGCTACCAGTAACATTTTTAGCATAATGCATAAGTTTTGACATTAAAGTAGAATACGTATTTGTTTGAAGCATTTGTTGAAGTTGTTCTACAGTTAACTTAGCTTCACCAGGGTTTTGCTTTAAAAAATATTTCCCTGACTAAGGAGTCTGTGCCTCTGAATCATGTTGAATGCCCAATAAGCAAACCGTGGGTGACTTGCAAACCTATAAGCCCATTTACCATTATTATATTCAGCAAATTTAATCAAATGTTTTATTTTATCTCCAAGGGTCACATCACGCATTGTAGCACTGTTAGTAGGATCTCCTTTGCCATCTGGGAACAAAGTAGGAAATGCCATAGTAGCTAAATATTCAATTTTAAACTCATTGAGAGGACTTGAATTCCTATTAGGCCAATTGATTTTACTGTTTTGTAATAACTCATCTTTTATCAGCTGCTTCTGTGGCTTTAGTTGTACAGGGTTAAGAATTGTGCTACTCAATTCTGTGTCTTCATTGAAAGGTATTTCATCAAGAGGACCTCTGTCTGGATCAATTTCATCATCTTTACTGTTCTCAGTACAATAAATTTTACGCAGCTCAGTGGGAATGCCATCAGAAGGCAAGAAAGCCAACAATTCATAATCAATAGTGATATCCTTATATACAGGGTTATGTTGAACTAACCAGTGCAGAGCACAGCTGACCTTTTCACGCCTCACAGTGAGATCTTTATAAGTATTATCTTTGCCTTTGACTGACACAACTATTACTGGCATTTCACTTAGGTTTCTTGGCAATGAATTGGCTAACTCTTGGATATCTTGAGAGAAGTTAATACAATGACCTTTATATGCTTTTTGTCCACCTGGTTTTGTATAAACAGAAATTACTGGGAAAACACGAGCTATTAACATTTCCTCTAATTGCGTTAAACCTTGCAATTCATTTGGGACTTGTGAAGGAATCATTCCATTCTGAGATGAAAATTTTTTCACTCCATTCTTGTCACGTGAACATCTTGAACACATATAAGGAGATCTCTTTTTGCCTTTTGATGATAATGGCCATGCCTCATGGCAAACTTCACACATATAAATTTTGAATTTAAGTGAATTATGAAAGTCTTCCATGTTTTTGATAGCCCACTTCTGTACATGAATTGGTCCAGTGTTTATACTGTCAAATTGAGATAAATATGCTTCTTTGTCAACATTATGCAGTGGTTTATCTACTTTTTGCCATGCTGTAAATTTTCCTACTGGTTTAATTACATCAAATGTATTGTCTTCCTTTTTCTGTCTAGAGTTCCACTTAAATTGCACAGTTTGTTTTATCAATTGTGCTTGCTTTTCCTCCCCTGTCTCATAATCCTTTATTTTCCTTCTGTATGCCCTCATATATTCTTTTTTTTTTTTTTTTTGTCTAGAAAGTTTTTCACTCTCTGTCTCTTTGGCTTTTTTAGCTGTAAATTTTCCTACTGGTTTAATTACATCAAATGTATTGTCTTCCTTTTTTCTGTCTAGAGTTCCACTTTTGCACATTTTGTTTTATCAATCGTGCTTGCTTCTCCTCCCCCCTGTCTCATAATCCTTTATTTTCCTTCTGTATGCCCTCATATATTCTTTTTTTTTTTTTTTTGTCTAGAAAGTTTTTCACTCTCTGTCTCTTTGGCTTTTTTAGCAATTTTGTAATTCTTCAAATGTGGATTTACTACATTTAAGTTCAGCTTTTTTTTTTCTATCTATCAATTTGTCAGTATTTGTTTCTGGTCTTTGTCGCTTTTCTGGGTGTGCAAACTTCTTTCCCAAAATCATCACAGGCTTGGCGTTCTTTATCCTCTAATTTTGAATAAGAATGGTCTGGCATTAATGTACAGGAATCAATGCCTTGATGTATATTAATAATGTTATCAACAGAGCTTTCATAAACAGCAAAATACCATCCATTGGCGTAAACATTCAAAATATCTTGAAATGTAGCATATTGCTGAACTGCACTACAGAGATCATCATAATAAAACCAATAACGACCATTGTTTATAGCAATAGTGAAATGGTGGCTTGCACACCGCACAACAGCTTTTAATAAGTAAAATGTACCTAAGAGTTCCATACTTGCTGGTAGAACAGTTTGACCAAAAGAAATTGATGATAATTCAATGTGTAAAAATTTTGGCATGGTAACAAAATGTTGCAAACCTGAAATATCACCAGAATGCCTTTGACATGCATCACAAAAAAGTGGGCTGCTATTAGGCAAAGCAGCTTCTGAAACACAGTTTTCAAATTCAGTGGGCAGAATATTTGGACAAGTAATATACAAGACAATAGTGCTAGTAGTTTTCAATATTTGATTGTTACACAGGGTGCAGCAAGTCTGATTACATTGTTGAATAAGAAATAATGATTTCAAATCACTGGTTAAATCCCAAATGCTTGCATGGTAAATATGTCACTAAAAACAGCATTTGCAGTCATTGAAGAAAATGATGGGCAACGACCTCTGATCAGTGACCATATAGGCTCTCGCACAACATCAACAGCACCAACAATTGCCCTTTGATTGCACGCCTCAGAGATAACTTGAAAAAATCATTGCATGTAATGTTTTGAAGATGATTGCGAAAAACAAAATAACATAGCTCAAGAAAGCAATCAACTGCACAAGAAAACTTCCCTACGTTGGTCAAACAATAATTACGAAAGTGATCTCTTACATTTGATCCTTCACACATGTATGTAGAATTACTATCAGTGCTATTACATATTGCATTGCGTTTTTCTTCCAACACTTCTGAATTTATGTTCCCATTCACAATGTGTGCCTCCTTGTTTGAAATAACGAAGGGATTAAAACTACCATTAGAAGGATAAGCTATTCGCCTTGACAAGTATCTCCCCCTAAATCTGAAATAGATCATGCTGCATTTTGGGCACACACTCCCCAATTCTAACAGATTATTGTGGGCAGTACGATTGGGAAAGAGTAGCAACATAAACAATAGCCACATCATTTTCAAACTTTTGTGCGGTTTATTGCTCTAGGTGTACCTTGTATTTTTTAGTGGGCAAAAAGTCTGTGCTTCAAAAAATTCGTGATACGCTTGATATTAATAACAGTCGAAAGAATTGATCGAGCTGACAGTTGATTATTGCAGCTTGCTCGCTCTCCAATGCACTTCCGCCGCGTTAGGTTTCCTTTGAATTTAACTCAAGCTTAAGTTAAGTTGAATCTCAGTTGCTTCGATTGTTTTCAGCTTGTTTGTGGGGTGACAAAGTTGGTTCAGTGGCCAATGACGAGTGCACTCTTTTCGTGGCTAGCTCGCCGCTAGTTTGCTACAACTTTAATTGCTTTCTGCTCGCTATTAATGGTGACAAAGTTGCCTCACTGGCCACTAGTTTGCTAAAACTATCGTTTGTTTTGTTTGAATACAGTTTCAAGCGGTTTCTCAGTTTCTTTGATTGCTTTATGCCTGCTGGCGTTGTCTAACTGCTCGCTATTAATGGTGACAAAGTTGCCTCACTGGCCACTAGTTTGCTAAAACTATCGTTTGTTTTGTTTGAATACAGTTTCAAGCGGTTTCTCACTTTCTTTGATTGCTTTATGCCTGCTGGCGTTGTCTAGATTTGGCACCCTTGCCGACTTTGGCACTCTCACGTGTGGCTCGTTCGCCGCCGCTAGTTTGCTACAACTTTGATTGCTTTCTGCTCGCTAATGGTGTCAAAGTTGGCTTACTGGCCGCTAGTTTGCTACGATTATCGTTTGTTTGAGCTTTGTTTTGTTTAATTCGGTGGTTTCTCAGTTTCTTTGATTGCTCTATGCCTGCTGGCGTTGTCTACATTTGGCACGCTTGCCGACTTTGACACACTCGTCAACTTGGCACACTGGCCGACTTTGGCACACTGGCCGGTTACTGAGCTTGCTAACTCGATAATTATACCACAAAGGCACTTAACTTAAGTGCACTCACGCAGAATTGGAAATAAAACTTACAAAGGTAGGTGAAAAATACAATTTTCTTACCTCAAACTTGCTCGCTCCTCCGCTCGATAAATGACAAAGCTGCTAAGCGTCCACGATAAGCACCATGTGGACTTGACGTCACGATCTTTGCGCGCTACCATTGGTCCGTTGCAAAACAAAGCCTATTCACATTACGTCATTGGAATCTCAGGAATCTTACCTTACAGACATCTTACAATCACTCGAGATTTTTTCCGCCTGTACAATACTCTCGCACGGCTCTATAATGCTGCCGCCTCGCCAGCCTCGCGTCTTCGCTCGGCTGGCTCGTTGGCAATAATTGTATTTAGCAGTATTCAGACGTAAGATTAGCTAACAGACAATATAAAAAATAAAATTAAATCCCTCCATATCCAAATTAGACTTCGGCTGGTCAACAAAGAGTTATTTTACAATTTTAAAGAGATCATATTTTGAGACTTTAATAACATACAAGGAAGTACTGACGGGTGTTTAATGTTTTCTCCTAAAATATTGATGATATTTTATCAATATGAGGAGAGGATAGCGCGGAAGTTGTACTCTGATTGGCCACTCAAACTTAGAATATTCTTTGTTTCTCCAATTCTAGCAACGCCGAAAATATTGTAATCGTCGCAGGAAAAAATCATTTTTCTTTTGCCATAATACATCACTGTTTTAGTACATCCTAAAACAGAAACTCACCTCAGTGTCAGCGCCACTTCGGGGCACCACAAGCCACCTCCACAATATTCGGTGAACAGTCGTTAAAAATAATGATAAAAATGGAATGAAATAGCGTAAGTTTTTTATTATTAGTATTATTATTATTATTATTATTATTATTATTATTATTATTATTATTATTATTATTATTGAATGGGGAGGGGAGTGTTATTTTTTAAGTGAAGATCGTCACAAAAATTTTGTCTGGAAGGCAGTTTGATGAGGTCAAAATTCGAGTTAAACCCACACGACAAAGTCAAAAAAATTTACTCCAGGTTAATGCTGTGATAAGTTACTACTTTCGATCTTGACATCTTCCAGGGTAATGAACAGTTTCGAAGGTAAGTGTTTCCACATTCTACTCCAAGAACCACACTTGGTTTTAATCTACACCAAATCAGGGGCGCGGCTAGCTGCGCAGCATGTGGCCTCATGTGTAGCCGGCAGAAGAGGCGTAATTTTGGTGAACGAGTGCTCAGTAATTTCATAACGAATACTATGGCCGCCATTTTTTATTTTAATGACAGCGGAAGGCTGGGGAGAGAAATAAATTTGTACCAAGGGGGCGGTCGACGGTCAAAAATAAGGAGAGGGGTGGGTGTGGGGGAGTGGGTTTTTTTTTTTCTTTTTCCTTCCCCCGCCCCCTACCCCCACCGTCCACTCTAGCTGCAAATCAAACATGGCCGATCAAATAAACGATCGCGAGCTTTTAACGTTAGCTCGCACTAACAAGACGCCTGATTGCCCAAATTTTCAAACACCCAGGAGAGTTACAATTCGATGTAAAAATATGAAACCTATGCAAATGATAAAACACGATGAATGATGATTTTAGATATATGAAATTCATGTATTTGCACTGCGGTGAAGAAACGAAATTAAGAGATCCTCGCAGCTAAGAACACTATTTTCAGCTACTCGTTTCAGTTGTGTTCTCAGCTGCGAGGATCTCTTAATTTCGTCAAAACACGATGAATTGCTTTTTTTTCCATGGCGAATCGAAAGGGAAACAGAGTAAAAAGATGGACCTACCATGATAGAATGAAGCTAACACCTGATTCTTTTTACAGCTAGGTTTATTTATAATAATTAATTTTACAAATCAAAATGAAATGTGAGTGAAGGGGAAAACAAATCATGCAACTCAAAACTTTACAATTTTCCAAATTTATATCGCAGAAATTTGAAAGGGAAAAAATTAAGCGATTACGTTGCTCTTTTCCCAGGTAAAGCTATGCAGTGACGTTAAACTTAATGAGTCCCAGTCTCTTTACGTTTGGTTACTGATCAGCGCTAATATGAATCGTAAGAGGAAAGTGACGCATGCGGCCTGAAAACCACCTGACATAACCAACAGCGTTTGAATCACTATTAATACAGATGGTGGAAAAAGGCTGAGTATTGAAAAATAATGATAATAAAATAAAGTGAACGAAAGAAAGAAAGAAAGAAAAGAAAAAAAGGAAACAATGAAGGAGAAAAAAAAGAAGAAAATAAAAAAACAGAAATTAAAACCGAATTACAAAATACCTAAAATACCCTAGTTAAAATCTAAAATTCATAAAAATACCTAAAAAAACTAAAACCTACCGACCTAAAAACAAAATGAAAAGGCTATAAAAAATAGGAGAAAAAGAAGAGAGAACTGAAAAGACAGAAAAGAAAAAGAGTGCAGCGCCAAAGGCAAAAGTTCAGTTACGTGCAGTGACTCTGTGACCGCATACGTCACCTCCATTACAAATGATTCTGAATCAACGTATCTGATTGGACGAAAACATAACCATTAGATTGAAATTAACACGCAAAGCATGACGTCGCCTTAGATCTTGCTAGCTTCCCCTTTGCAAAACACAGCGTAATCGAAAAAAACCATAAAAATGTGATGATGAAAATATATCTAGTCAGGTCTGCTCTTTCAACCTTAACTCTGAACTTAAGATATTACGATACAAAAGAATTATTTACGTAATCATGAAATAATTACGAGCAATAAAAAAAGAGAAAAAAAATGAATAAACATTACTCATGATAAAAAAACGAAAATATTTACAACAGTACAATCAAATGAATTCATAATAGTTATGTACGTGACTAATGTTTGACATGCGAAATATTCTCGCTATTCACAGATAATATCTGAATAATTCTCTTGGGTTAAGAAATTTGCATTGAAAAATGAAACTGCCGGCTTAATTAAAGTGATTGGCAGAATTTAGAGATTTACAAAGGATTTCAAGTCATATATGAACATGTTACAACACAACCCAAGCCAGAAATAAGGAAATTCTTGTAAAATCAAAACTGCAAAAACAGGAAAACAAAAAGCAGAATTAGCCATTGTTACTGTAATGAATAAGTATAATCAAAATGATCTGTGGCAAACTCGTGGCAAAATACAAAGT